TTTCTTGAGACATTATTAATAAGAGTAATAAAACATAATGAACAGTTAATGAAGTTTTTGAAGTATATAGTGTGGACAAACATTCCCACATCCCTGTGATTACTGGACGTGTTGACAGTTTTTAAATGTCAAAAAGGTCACCTGTTTGGCCTCGGTCTCAGCTTTACTTATGTCATTCTTGCAGGTCATCATCTGGCCACTAAGTGTGGCTTCAGCTCCATCCTCATTGGCAGAGAGACCAGCTGACACGGCCTTAAAATGCTTCTGAGCCGCCTCCAGCGCTTCTGCATCCTTCTGCCCCTCCTCCTGCACAGTCTTCAGCCGCTCCATTGCTTTGGCAACCTCCACTTCCTTAGCTGACATCATCTTTTTATCCTAGTTCAAACAAAGTTTACATTTAAATAAGTTATATAAATAAACATAAAAAATATCTTGATTTTTATCACAATACTTTAAAATATAAACCCCTTTCCTCACCCCACAGGATAAATTATTTTATTTATGTTATTAGTTCTTTATTTTATTTTATTTGAGTATTTAAAGGGGACCTATTAAGCACACAAAAAAATTATAAGGTGTTTGAACACAGATGTGTGTCTACAGTGTGTGTAAAAACCAGCCTATAATCCCCTTTAAATTTAATTTTAATAATCTAAAATTTAATTTAATTTTGTAATAATTTGAATTACATACAGTTTCGCCAGTATTTTATATATATATATATATATATATATATATATATTTTTTTTTTTTGTACCTCCTCCATGTTTTTGACCAGCTCTTTTCTCTTCTTGGTCTCGTCTTTCAGATTTTGCTTCTTCAGGTCAAGAGCGCTTTGGGCCTTTGTGTCCACTCTCTGTGCTTCAGACAGGGTCTCTTCCAGAGTCTTCAACACCCCTCCAACCTCCTGGAGAGACAGACACAGATATGAGACATACTAATGGAATACAACAGGAGACAGAAATGTTCAATCAATCAACCGCACACTTTTATAACAGGTATCAATTTGCATCATAAAATATTCAAAAATCTTTTCCCGTACAAATAATGTACTACTTTCTGCCAGTCCATTACCCACTATCCTAACCTTTATTACAGACCTTCAGTCTCCACAGGACAAATACTCGATTACCAAACCTGTTTAGGTCATAGGTCACCACACGATTTAGCAAACTGCGGTCCAAATCTTGACTGTGAATGGGTTTCATTAGGAGCACAAATAATTTCTAATAAATTAGTGACAGTTTTCCTCTCCACACAGAACATTTAAGCCATCTTTACTCAGCAAAAGCTACACATCAGATGAAGCTGCAGTAACATTTATAACAATGTATAGTATAGCAAGGTTTGCAAGATACAGTTAGGTAATAGTCATTTTGACATGCTTTCTACATAAAATAAAAGTTACATCCTAAAGCACCTACTTTTTGTTATCCTGGAACAGTCTTTTGTATTAATTTCATGTCTCATGAATGTTATAGTTTACCTTGCTATTTCATCACAGTTTACCATTATTTCAGCATATCTGAAAACTTGTAATTTATCACAATAAAAATAGCGGAGGTCTCTCCATACTTCAAACGCTCTGCCAATGTTGATGCGTGTTTTCGTCCTAAGTCGATCCGATTTACATTTGACCTGATGAGCTTCAGCAGATAAATTGTTTGCTTTTTATAATTCGGTGGAGTTTGTGTTGGAGTCTGTGTTGTGCTGAAGGCAGGTCGTTTTTTGGTGTTATCAGACTCCATGTCGTCAGCTGCAGTGCCGTCGCATAGACTGTATATAAAAAGGAGAGAGGCTCGGCAGCGCGCATGCGAAATCCGACCCGGAGACATAGAAATAGGAATACTGGCCTTCAGAGGTAATAGCAAAACCGACAAGTGGATCATTGTAATGTGTGATTACAACCCCTTCACACACAGGCAATACAAAAAGGATTCATTTTAGAAGAAAAGTTACATATAGCACCTTTAAAAACTACACTTACAGTTCTAACAGTATTATACTTAATATATAATGTTGCTTCAGATGAATATTTATAATGATAAAGATAAAGTTCACATTCCTGAATAAATCATAAGCAATTCAAGTTTCACCTGCCCCACCTGAAACTTTGCTTGACTCTTTTAGTACACAAATCAGAGAGCAGGATCTCCATTACTCATTCATGGATCTCTTTCAATTTCTCAAGCTCACAGCATCTTATATAGTTTAGGTGTGAGCCCCCAAAGGCTGAAATCGTCCCTGTTGCTCCTGCTCTCAGATCAGTGTAACCCAGACTGTCTGCTCTGCTGCTCACCTTGTCCCTCTTGCGCTCCAGCTCCTGTATCTCCGCGCTCAGCTCCTTCACTTTGGCCTCGTTCTGTCTCATGTTCTCCTGCAGCTGCGCGATGGAGCTCTGCATCTCTTGCAGTTCTTCAGTAGACTTCAGCTTGGTTTCCTCGGCGCACACAAACAGGTACGCCACATATAGTCGACTCAAGTGCTCTATCTCACGCATGAGCTTCTGGTACTCCAGGTAGGACGCACGTTCCTAAGAAGCAAAGGAGAAGGATAGGATATGAAAAAAAGGATATATATTGCACAAGTTACATGAACTTTGTCCACAGTAAGGAATTGGTAGAAAACTTCAATGATAAACAAAATAATGTTCAGCAGCACAAAGAAACAGAGGCACACAGTAATATATAAATAAATAATACAAAGGTTATACATGTATAGATTACATGATTTATTATTAATTACACATTTAATTTATTTATTATTTATAAAATAAAGATGTAAATAATACATTATTTGTAAGCTAATATATACATACATTAAATGATAAAGTTATCGTTCAGTTTAAAATGTATTTTGGGTTTTACAGAACAAAAAAAAAAAACACATTTTAAAAACACATACCTCCTTCAATTTCTCCATAGCAGGCGTGATCTCCTCATCCAGGATCTATCACACACACACAAAATATCTGAGATGAAATTGACATCATTACAATTGTTGGGTCATTTAAATAAAAATGTATATTTAAATAAATGTACATACAGTCTGAATCTCTTTGAGCTTGGCATCTTTCTTCTCAATAGTTTTCTGAGCACTGATCTTCTTGCACTCATACATTCTGGTACCTGCCGCTTCCTCAATCATGGCCAGAATCTATAGATAAAAACATGCCAAAAATAAAAAAATAAATAAATCACACTAGAAAAGAAACTATAAACTTGCATCTAAGATACTGGATGTTTGTGTCACTTCATCCATCAATCTCACCTCAGGAGGCTTCATGTTTAAAACCTTGGTGATTCTCCCCTGAAATAAACACACAATTAGAGTTAGTGGGAATGTGAACACTAACTACAACTGAAATCCAAATAAAAATTGGTCTTAAATTCAGCATGACATCAAAATTGACACTGTTTACTTGAAGTATTTTGGATGAAAAATTGTCACATTACACAAGTAAAATAAGTTGCAAACAGCCATTCACATTCATTTTTAAATGAAAGTCCTGTTGTATTCATAATACGAATATCTAATACTTTTACAAAAATCCATTCCTTGCCAAATAAATTCCTAGATGGGTGTATTATGGTTGTTACCTGCATGATCAGAAAGTGAGGGTTGTTGACATTCAAGCCAACTGAACAAAACAGATCCTGGACTCGCAGGTTGTTTGCGTTCACGCCGTTGATGAGGTACTTGTTTCGTCCACCTATGACCACCTGCACACAACAGTGTCACAACAAGCGTTATTATTACTGTCTCTTTGATAGCATCTCTGAAATCAGTGATCTCTGGTCGAATACCTGTCGTGTGATGGTGATCTCATCATGGGTCTCAAAACCAAGGGGACTCTGTTTCTTGTTGGAGTTGTCAAAAGTAATGGACACAGTTGCCTTGGTGATTCCAGCCAGGCCATTTTTGTACACTAAATCTTGGAGATTAGTGGCACGAACCTACAATGTTTGACAAACCAAAACAAGCAGAATTACAGCTTTTGCAACTCACATCTATTAATTTATTAAACAGTCGTGCTCTGTTTACTTGTAAAAAATAACATACATTCTGTTTAACTTTTAAGGTTATTGTTGTCATACAAGTTATTTAACGTTATAAAATAGAGCAATCAGAAATATTGATATTTTTTGTTTGATAAACAAAATAAATATACAAAAACTGCGCAGCCACAGAAAACCTCCCATCAGAGAGCTGATTTATACATATGGCTAAGTGTAAATAACAAATTAGTTGAATGTATTAAAACGCACCTGTGATAAATTAGTTATTCCCAGCAGAAAGCAGATTGAATCGAGGATGTTTGACTTTCCACTGCCGTTCAGTCCAGTGATGGCGTTAAAAAACGGATCAAATCCGTTAATCTCCGTCCTTTCTGCATAGGACTTGAAGCCCTCTAGTACAATAGACTTTATGTACATTTCGATCAATCACAGTACGAGTAAAATACAATAACAACGCTATACACCACTATATTATAAGCGATAACAACTTCAAATAACCTCTGCGTTGCTTTCAGTTCAACCATCCAAACTTGAAATTTTGGCGCCAGGCGCGTTTCCGCTACGCCGTTCAAAAAAAGGGAGAGATGACAGTTACTAGCAGTGAAACCACAAACAAAGAAACTCACTCGAATCCTTCATATGTTTAGACGAAATGTTAATTTTATTTTGATCAAATGCATGGTCATTACAATCAAGACACTGTTATTAAAATGTAATTCATTTATTCTTTTGATTCAGGCTACGTTTAAGCCACCTAATTGATGGACCCAAAACATTGGAGCGTGTATGACGTCGACAGAGCGGTTTGGCCCTTGTGTCATATCGTTCAAAAAGAGTGTGGTGCATTACATATTTAAACTATTGCATGATTTTATTATATTTTGATACTCGACTCTATGGAATTCACCCTGACTGGTCAATTGAGGCATTCTGCTATATTTCTGTATAATGATAGCTAAAGCCCAGTTTTTATTTTCACGTAGTAAGTATGAGTGTAATGTATAACGTTACTCAAGGTTTTTAAATTACAAAAAGGCAATTATTAATGCTTGCATGCAGAGAATGAAAGCTTTCGTGCACAGTTTCAAATAATATGCGAATTCTCCAAATGTTTAATTTGTTAAAAGTGAGGCATAATAGAAATGTGACAAACAGACGTTTCACCTGAGCTCACTTAAGATTATTAAAAGAGTATACTGTAATATCCACTAGTTTGTCTCATTGTTTCTCTTTCAACGATGATAAACCCCATTATAGCTTGCTTTATGAATCAGCTAAAACGTGCAAAAATATGTCAAATGTAGCATAAATGCCTAAAAGTTAATGAATAAATATATATTCAAGTCACAACAATGCTCATCAGAAACACCCTTTTGTGTTTGCATTTGCACTAGCACAAATTTAATTTCACCCACACTATGGAGTAATGTTACAGTTAGTTTAGGTCTAAGTGCTCAAAGCATAGCTAAGTGCTCAAAACACAAATCGTTGTCTTTTTTTCAACATCAAGAGTTTAGTCTTTGTCTGCTTTCTCTACAGAGGCACAGGACACAAGGAAAGACACACCAGATTAAAGGCATAGAAACAGATCTGTGCTAGGACAACACAGTCACCACGATCGGAATACATTGGAGTGGGTTGAATGTACGTCAAGTCAAAGTTCTTAAGTTTAAGTGCCGTGTGGTGATGCTTCCTGCTCAGGGACAGCAGACAACGAGCCAGCGTGTATTTCGCAGCACAGCTCACTGCTCTGACGGACCGCACAGAGTCGAAATGCATCAAGAAATAGGGATCATCCTAACACAGCAGAGAAATGCAAATTGAACATCTTTCAATGGATTTGATTTGATTTAGTAGGATCCCCATTAGCTGATGCAACAAGATGCATCTGCTACTCTTCCTGGGTTCCACACAAAATACATAACACGAATGAAACGCCCTACACAATCAATGCACAGATTACCATATTACAACATGTACACAACCAATGCACAATCATACACTAAAACAACACATTCTCATGGAATACAATTACACACCCATACATATAGATACACACATGATATGCTATCCACTAATAAAAAAAAATCCTTATTGGAAAGAAATAGACAACACTTCCTAATATAATAGTCTATAGCACATCAAAACCATTACTTTAAAGTCTAGCTCATATTTAACAAAGTAACATGTTTTTCAAGCAGTTATGTAGCAGGTATAATCATAAATCAAAGGGGGATGAATGTTTGAATTCAACTCACTATATCTGGATCTCTACCGTCCAGAATCTGCAGGTCTTCCAGGGCCCAGATCTCTGTTCTCTCATAGCTGTCCTCCAGCCTACAGTGCTGCAGCTTCTTGGTCCGTGAATCCTTAACTTTCCGACACATGACCACTGAGATCTGAGCTTCTTTATCCTTGGATACTAAACACACATTGGTTCTAGTTTTTATTCTACCCCTTCATCAAACAAAGTAATATATTTTACAATTCTTATTCCTTCACAAACAATATCTGATCTTGTCCCTAGATGACCTTACTGTTTGGAAACATCTAATGGAAAATAGCACATGCCACATCAAATAATAATGCACGAAATAACGTGAATTTTCTTACTAGAAACACAGAGAAAATGCCGTCCCTGATGTTGCTCCTCTATTTCTATAAACTCCACCAGCTTCTGTCCCTCCCGTCGGAACAAGACTCTATCCATCTCCTCCCTCAACAGAGATGACATCTCAGGCAGAAAATGTGAGAGAAAATTAATTTAAGTGTGAGAGAGAGCAAGAGTAGAGTGAGGGATAAAATGTTTTCTGGAGGTGGATCTGGTTTGTGGGGTTTATTTCCCTCCTTCCACCCCCCACCTCTCTCTCTCTTTCTCTCTAACTCTCTCTTTCTCTCTCTCTCTCTCTCTCTTTCTCTCTGCATTCCTACTGCATTTTCAATTGAACTTCAAATGTGCCATTATTTCAAATGTTTTATTTTTTTATTTTTGGTTCTCAAAAGCTGATTTGAAATGAATCCATGATGGAAATATTATTTTTTGGAGATGTGCTGGGGATGAATCATCGTCAATAGTTTGTGTACTGTATATGTTGCCACAAATATTTTAAAATGATAACATTTATATATTTCATAGACAATACATGATATCAATTATGTATATATTTTAATTATAACCTCAGTCTATTATGTCTGTTATAATAGTAATAGTTATGTCTAATAATACCAAATATGTTTTTGGATTACACAATGGATTCAAAAACAAATAAGTTAGCAAACATTCATAATTTGCAGTAATGTTCTATATATATATATACTGTATATATATGAAGAGTTCAGATGCAAAAACCTCTAAATGCCATTTGACATTTTCTTCTTTAATGATGATTTTTATCAAACTTGTATATTTAAGTTCAGTAATTTCACTTAAATAACAATTAATAGGTAATTATCATTGCCATTTAAGTGAAATCACTGAACTTAAATATACAAGCTTGATAAAAATTATCATTCTAGAAAAAAATTTCAAATGGCACTTAGAGGCTTTTGCATCTGAACTCTTCATATATATATGTATGTTTATATATATATATATATATATATATATATATATATATATATATATATATATATATATATATAATATAATCTATAAACAGCAATGTGTATATATATATATATACATTGCTGTTTATAGATATACTCTACAATTCCTGCTTATAAATAGACATATTTGTGTAGTTTCACAAATTTGTTTGCTTTTTCCTCTGTCATTACAAATATTATACAGCAGTCCACCCGTACGAGCCTGAAATATTGGGTGCAGTGCACACATCTACCTTTCTCAACATTTCATCTCTGTTATTTGTTGAATTTGCTCTCCCTTTATTCTTAATCTATATGTGAAAGCTTTTAGTATTTTATATGGTTGTGTGTGTGTGTGTTTTATAACACACACACACACACACACACACAACCACTAACAAACTCACTCCTGGCTTCGATGAGCTATGTCTGCTGATTGTATTAAAATGGCCTTGGGGAAAATACATCATTAGTTATGAAAACACATTTCCCTCTTAAATCTCCATCGTAAAAGGTGCAGTTAGAAACCATTATAATTATAACCTCTACAGGGATAGCCTATATTGACTGTGGTCCATTCAACCTCTTAAGATTCGATATCCAGCGGATCTACAGATGCATAATTTATAGCCACAAAACACATTCATACAAACAAGTGTTCTGATTGCACCCAATAAGGACTTTTTGGTAGCTTTATAGGCCTTCTTGATATCCATCTCTGTTTTTAGAAGGCTAACTAATTAATCATTCACAAAATTCAGCTACCTGAAAATACACTCAGGTACTATTTGCCGCAAAGAAGGAAATGACCTATGCTTTTAGTCTTCAGAGTAGCTTTTAGTTGGTCTTCGAGGCTTTACTTGTGGCTGCTGTTAAAGTCAGTTCTAGGATGGTCATCATAAGTTAGATTTTTTAAAGTCTCCCATGTGCAGTTCCTTTGGTAATGGAGTAGTAATGGGATAAATGGATAGGATAAGTGTAAACCCATATAAATGTATAGGATTTTTTCATACATACTGTATTGACGTGGTTTGTAAGAAAAATTATTTGTTAAAAAATGCTTGAAAATGAATTAGTCGATGTAAATTTTAGAATATAAAATTAAGATATTTGTCTGACATGCACTGTAAAAAAATATTGATGGTTTATCTTAAAAAAGTAAGTAACCTGGTTGCCTTAAATTTTTAAGTTCATTGAACTGGAAAAAGTGAGTTAATACAATGAAGGAGATTAATTTAACCATCAGAAACTCAAAATTATATGTTATCTGAACTAAATAAATTATTTAAGTTGATTTGACAAAAGAAAAAATGTTGTGATTACTAAAAATATTGTTGGTTTAACTTAAAAAAGTAAGTAACCTGGTTGCCTTAAAATTTTAAGTTGATTGAACTGGAAAAAGTGATTTACTACAATGAAGTAGATTAATTTAACCATCAGAAACTCAAAATAATAAGTTATCTCAACTAAATAAATTATTATAAAGTTGATTTGACAAAATTTGTTGCGATATCAAATCTTGAAAATGTTTTTTACAGTTGGTACTTTGGCACCATTTAAGCCTGCATGTGTTTCAGATAAACCCACATCATGATTGATTCACAAAATGTGAAAGAATTATTGATATTTAAGACGTAAAACATCAATGTATTTCTTCAGTGACAGGGAAGTATTCAAAAAAATCCTTTTAATCCTTTTGGTTAGAGCCCTGGGTGGGATGGGTAAGTGTTAGTGGCTGGGGTACCTGGCCGTTGGTCCAGACCGGGTGTTTGACCGGGTGAATCTCGGGAGCCAAGCCGAGTTGAGGTTCCAAACTCTTGGCTTAGGGCCGTCTCCTAGTGGGCCCCCCATGCCCGATGTATGGAGCCTTAAGTTGGCTTGTTTCCCGAATTGTCATTTCTCAGTCCAGACTTTCTGGCATCCGCCTTACAGTAAACATATCTTACATTTTTAAAGAAAAGCATTGTCTTTTTTTTCACCATTACTCATTTCAATGAGAAATGCTAATTACAAACTTTGATCAACCTCGAGTGAAAGTGTTTAATGATAACCTTTTTTTTGTGTGCTTTTACCTTACTAACCTTGTACCTTACCTTACTTTACTACCTTAATTTACAACTATATTTAGATTGGCCTACAAATTGCACACATTCACTCAAAAGAGATAGAGATCCTACTTTACCCGCACAGTCCCGAGCCTCAGGGCCCTTCTGGTTCTGCGATACCGCCAATTCCTGTCCCGCTTTGACCATACATAACTCCGGGCATGCGTCACCTAGTGGCCCTCCATGCCAAGAGTAAGAGCTCCAACTCGTCTTTTTTCCTGCGATATGGTCACTTCCAGTGGAACTTTGACTGGGCATAACACGGGAACATGCAGCTCCTTAGGTAATGGAGTAGTAATGGATTAAAGTGTTAGGCCAAATCCGGCCAAAAATGAAAATTCTGTCATTATTAACTCACTCTCATGTCGTTCCAAACCTGTATACTTTGCCTGGATGCTGCAGGTGATGAGCGAGCAGGAGGGATGCTGGGAATAGAATGTGAGTGAGAGAATGCAGCAGCGAGGGAGGAACGGTGGACTTGAGAAAGTATTTGTCGAAGAAGATGATCGTGCAATCCATTCCAGAAGACAACCAGATGAGAGAGCTCCTCCACATAATCCTCCAGCCACCGGGAATCTTGGGAAAATGAGAGAAGCAGGTCAGCAGGGTGAACTGGGTACACTGCTGCATGGTTATAAGGAACTTGAGGCAATGCTTCAGAATCCAAACAGGTAACTTAGCTGAATATAAAGACTTCGTATCTTTTCCGCAGGTAATCGGGCTGGAGAGGATTCTGAACAGATGATGGGTGAATAGAGAACAGACAGGCAGTCAGGTAAGTCCTTCTTATGGGTGAGTGACAAGACCAGAGCCTCTGTGTGACTGAGGTGTGTGCTTACATGTGCTGATGGCTGAGTAAGTGCATGCAGGTAATGAGCAGGAGGAATGCTGGGAATTGTAGTTTAAGAGTGTGAATGAAGGAGGAATGGTGGACTTGTGACACATACAGTATTGGAATGATGGTGATTAAACATTGAAAGAATTTTCATTTTTGGGTGAACTATCCTTAAGAGAGAAGTACTGAGAAAAACCAACAGAAAATTTGATATTGGAATGATCAAAAATGTATTAAAAGTCATTTATAATGTTGCAAAAGGTTAAATAAATTGAAATAAAATGAATAGGCTACATTTTTAATATAAAAGTCCTCTCAAGACAGGAATCATGGCATTAACCTTGGTAGGTTGATTGTCTAAAACTTTATGAACTAATATTTGCATAAAAGATTGAGGTATAGTAAATTGGATTAGTAGGCTATTGTATATAGTAAGACGTGTGGGCACATTTGATGAAATCTTTGTTTCATTATCTTTTGCACCCATTTCTGTTTGTAAATCAGGTGATTGTAACATTCTTCGAGGCTTAATTATTCAGTGTGAGACTAAAACACATCACTCGAGTCTGTCAGTCTTGTAATGTGGGGTAGTGGATGTGGATGACCTTTGAATTGTCAAGACCTCTGGTTGACTCTGGTTATAGTCATTTTAGATAAAAGCTCAGCTAAATGGTTGTTTACATCCTGTCCATAGTGATTTTATATCAGCATTATAGTCACTCAGAACACCAAAGCACATATAAACCTCTTTCCAATATTCCATCTTCACTATTTAGTGGCGTTGTAGACTATCTATCTATGATCCTTCATCTATAAATATTGCAGTGGATTGGAATAGTGAAGTGGCAGAGTGGACAGAACAATGGAGTCTTACCCACTATTTCCAATGATGTGGAATCTTTTTTTTTTTCAGCCAAGGAGTCTGAATCTGGGGAAAGACAATGGGATGCCCTGAAGTGCTCCAAGGTACACTGTATTGATTTTTGCCACATCCAATAAACTGCTGGGAATGAGTCCAAAGATTTTCAAATGAACTCTGAGACAATGGAATAAAACAAAATAAGGTTCCTTCAGGAAACTAAAGCATTTACAGTCCAAAATACACTTATTATGGCCATAAATTCATAACAATGTAAATGATGTTTTTAACAATAGCCTATGTATTGTTTTCCCATTAACATAAGATGTGAAAACATTAACATGCAAACC